CTCGAATGGTATGTAGTACTTTCATATCCCTAATGTTGTGGATATAGAGTGACTCCTCTAAACACACTATCAATCTCTGTGGAAATAAAGCAAGATTGCAACATTCTCATACGGTCTCATCACTTGTAATAAAACACAATATTGTAAACATGCGTCGCAGGAAATGGATGCTTGCTGACTCACCTGTCTGTTTAGTTTTACAGCCAGTATAGTGTTTGAGTAGCTGTAGTTGCATATCTCAGTCCCTTTCTTGAAGTGACAGACTTTCAGCTTCCTAGGTGCCTTAAGGCTGACAATAGCGACAAGGCTGCTGGAGAACAATCTCTCCACGATGCACACATCTTCTGTGTCAGCTGAGCACAAATACATGAGAATATAAAACATGTCTTATGTACTACACTCATGCAAACATTTATAATGGACTACAGTAGTGGTTCTCAGCCTTTTTAACTCAACGGCTCCCCATTTATTATTCAAAGTCTTCCCCGATAATAGAAGCCAATGTAGTTTAATTAAGCTGCTTGTTTTTTTGTTTTTTTTTTCAACTATTTTTATTTACAGAAACTGGGAGTATTGATTTGATTTATTTAATTTAATTAACCACAATTCACTTTGTGATGAAATAATATTCAAGAACTGTATGTGCTTCAATAACAAAAACAGTTACAAGGAGGATATGAATTTAAAAGATTATTTTTTTTAGAATTTTAATTTATATTAGAGTTAGACTATTTTAAAATATATATATAATAATAATTTATTAATTTAGGTACTTGTAAAGCCACCCTGCATCCTCCTTGGAAGTTTGATGAGGCTCTCGTTTGAGAACCAGTGGTCAACAGGGACATAGCAAAAATAACAAATCCCTGGATATTTTGAAATGTCTACATCCGGCCTCCTTACTATTTGAAGATTAAACAATAACAGACAGGAAAACAGGCTTTATTCTGAACTTAGTCAAAGATTAGGAACGTTGAGAGGAACAAAGTGTGCATGCAAGCCCTTCAGCTGTGCCTTACAGCATGTACTTGAGTGCTGACTCCCATTATAAAACCATTATTACAATAATGGAAATATAATAAGGATACATTTTTATTTAAAATGTTATTTTATTAAGTAAATTGTAGAGCCATCCTTACACTATATGATATAATTGTTTACTGACATCTAAATTAAGCTTACTAGCTGGCCTCTATAGATACTATTTTAGCACAGCTGGAATGTTCCATTGGAATGTTGCCTATCAGCATCCAGGAACAGAACTATTCGTTTTAATAATTTTCAAGGTCTCTCACATTTTTCAAATGGTTTGTACACCCCTGATTATCTCTGACCTCCAGAGAGAGCATAAAGACATTATCAGCCCCTTCGATCAACTGGTATCATGCCAGAGGTAAAAGCAGCCATACTAGATATGATTTGCATAACTACACAAGCTTATGAAAGGCTGACATTAAATTACTACAAAAAGTACTTACTACATTCATAGATTTGTTCCAATTTGTCCACTGATGACAAGGAGAAAAACTTGTACCCGGACTTGGTACCAACAGCTAGGGATCTGGAAAGCAAAGAGGTAACAATAATGAAACGCTACAGTAAGTGATTAAAACACAACTCTTTATGGTCAACCGGTTTGCTTAATGACTAAAACAGGTTGTTGACCTGATGGTGAAATGTGTTAAAGGGCTATTTGGCAATCCTCGTGGTGTAATGTGACATGCTTGAACTTCAATATACAAAAGCCACGAGACAGTAAACTATTTTAAAGTAGTTTACTTTCTATAGTGGTGAAATGTAGCAGCTGTTATTAGTTATAAAAACACTGGCAGTATTGTCAGTGAGGTGAGCCAGCGGTTACACTGGCACAAACACCAGTGGAGTCTAAATAATAAGCTTTGGCTAACTTGACAGCTGGTTCGTTGGTTACTGGATTCGGAAAGACAAACAAACGGCTTTTTTTTATCAAATTGTATAGAAACTATCTTTCAGGCAGCTAACTTTAAACCAGACAGCCAAAAAAAACACAAAATGAGAGCTCAGTTTTAAGTCATGGGTTACTCTGGCGTTGCTAACAGTTTAAGCTACTATTGCTGTCTTTCAGAATTACTTCGTTAAACACACAGATAAATTTTACATACAATCAAATGTTAATTTACATCCCGTATCTAAGATTTCACACAATTAGGCTGACATAAAGCTTCGCAGAAGAGCAAATAGCCTATGTAATTTTCTCGTTAGCATGGGCGCTAGTGCTACAAGTCTCGTGAGTCAATTTGTCTGGCGTTAACTTTACTTTACAGGAAAAAAAACTGGGTGCTGATTTATTAAAACAAAGCTGCATTAACACATCGCGGGCAATTGTCTTAAGAGAGACCAAATTAAAAGCCAGAAAGCAAACAACAGTGACTGTTTTAGCTGGTTAACCCGCTTTATCATCATATCACCAGCACTCGAGAAATGAGACACGACACAACGAAAGCGCTCCCATTATAACGAACGAAGCTTCGCACGACTGCAGTGCAAATTATTCGCTGATTATACTGACAGCATTGTGCTGTTGTCGTGTAGATGGGCTGTTAGGCCAGCAGTAGCGTGGTTCTTTTCTTACGTGTTATCCTGATTAAAGTTGGCGAAGAGCAGCTGGCTGCAGCCGGCCTCTCCGCTCTGACTGGCCAGGTTCATGGGCTCGACACCATTTACAGATTAAGCCGAAGTGAAAAGGCCTCAGATGTGGGTTAGATCAGTGAAATCTGGAGTCGTCTCGCACTGCCATAAGTTCCACCCTCGTTCCAATGAATGTTGTTGTTTTTCTCCAGCCACTGTTGCACCTTTTCGTGCGCATGCGCACTGGCTGCTGCACTCATTCTAATTAAAGGGAAAGGTGCTCTATTTCTTACTAAAGTGGAAATGCTTTCAAATGATTTGCAAAACGTTTACACAATTAATCACAATTAATTTTAGAGGCTTCCCAGTGAGGCCTCTTAATTGAGAATATATAAGAGACTAGCCTTTATAGAGGTTCTCAACATTTTTGACTGTCTACAACGCCGTCCACATGAATAAAACTTTGCTGAAAAACCTCTTGTGCACAATTTTCTACTTATATTCTGCCCTCTGATTGATAGTTCACTTAAAAAAATAAAATAAAATACATAAATAAAAAAAGGCCTTTTAGTATGTGTTGCTGTGAAATCTTTAACAAAGTAGCCTAAATGTAAGAATAATTCTATAGATTGTTATTTAATATTACTTATTAATTCATTACTGGTCTGATGCAACTTAGATTTAGTCTACTTGATAATCCATACATCATTAAAAAAATTTAATAAAACTCAATTTAAAATGTCAGTATCAAATATGATAACTTTTGAGGAAAACGGTATCTCTCAGTCATAGTATTGCATAATTTTGTCCCCTTAATAAAAACCACAGAGTTTTGATAATAAAACTAAGCATTTAAATATCATCTTACTAAGACATTTTTTGTGTGACATTGAAATGTATATGCATTTTACGTAAGTAGTCTGCTTACTGCTACCGTTAGGCCTATACAATTTCATTGATTTACATTATTATAAGCTATTACAATTTAACCTTACTTTTGGCCATATAAATGACAACATCTGCACCAAATTGCATATTTTTGCTCAGTTTGGACCTCTAAATAAAATGATTTTTTTTCCCTCAGGTATGACCTCTGTATTTTCATGATAACAATATAGGCCATAAAAGCCTGATATCAAATATGAAAAAAAAACGTAAATATCTATGTAAGATATGCAATCATTTCTTTTGATTTTCTTTCATATTTTGTCTAAAGGTTCAAAACTGTTCCATTTCAGAAACGTACTAATCAAGAAATAGCATGATTTTTAGTTGTTTTAGTTTATTTTAAAGCTTGTTTTCTCTTAATTAAAAATATTTTAAGTCTTTTTGATGCCCCCTGGTTGAGAACCACTATACCAGATAAAGTATGCAAGCCATCTCTGCAATCACGATGGATGAGACGCAGATTGAAATGTTGTAAACTTATTTAACCAGCAGAGGGTTTCGTGCGCTTTGTCTCTGAGAATTCACAATTCTAGTGTTAACTAGTTCACTGTCAGTACAAACCCCTTTGGGTCACATAGAAAATGTGCTGTGACCAGGACAGAAATGTTTAGATGTGATACCTGACCATTGTAATTGTGGCTTTCAGTCATATAAATAATGGAAAATAAATAAATGGGGAAAATAAATAAATGGGGAAAATAATAAATGGGAAAGTCGTGGCCTAATGGTTAGAGAGTCGGAGTCGTAACCCAAAGGTTGCGGGTTCGAGTCTCGTACCGGCAGGGATTGTAGGTGGGGGGAGTGAATGTACAGCGCTCTCTCCCACCTTCAATACCACGACGACTGAGGTGCCCTTGAGCAAGGCACCGAACCCCCAACTGCTCCCCGGGCGCCGCAGCATAAATGGCTGCCCACTGCTCCGGGTGTGTGTGTGTGTATATAAAAAATATATACATATTGTTAAAAAGGATATATTTTAACATCCTCATATGTGTAGGCTATATATAGCCTACACATCTGTATATATATATATATATATGAAGAGTTCAGATGCAAAAGCCTCAAAGTGCCGTTTGAAATTTTCTTCTAAAATGAGTATTTTTCTCAGGCTCTTGTGTGTAGGTTCAGTAATTTCACTTGAGTGAAATAACTCAACATAAACATAGGAGCCTGATTTAAAAAAATGCTCATTTTAGAAGAAAATTTCAAACGGCACTTTGAGGCTTTTGCAACTCTTCATATAGGGCTACATACCTGGGTTTTGTTTTTTTGTAGGAAGAAAATGAGGGCTTCACAAAATAGCGTGCATGTAACAGATCTCAGAGAGGTTAGTTTGTTTACGACTTTCTAAACAAACATTTCTAAAGCAAATATCCGCTACATGACGCGCAATAAACAGACATGATGCAGTTCGTTCGCCGCGAGCCTTTTCCAAGTTCACTTGGAAGAAAGCAAAGGGGCGGAGAGGGGACTGAGCGCAGCTACATTCCTGACAGAGAGAGGGGTCGCGAGCGAGTCGCTTTATGATTATTACAAAAATCCGCTGTCACTCTCTCGCAGTTCTGCTCATGTGCGCGTAGCGAGCAGCGCAAGTCTTCACGTGCTCGTTGAGGCAGTGCTGCTTCCTTCCAAGTTTTGGACACACTACTGAAACATCCGGAGTTTGCTCGTCGCTTTTACTGGGAGTAGTCAATCTGTCTACCCAGGAGCAAGTTCCGCAGCGAACATGTACAAATATGTACAGTATGGATTTTAGGAGGACGAAGCTCGGCAGGTAAATTATCTAAATATAACGTTTATAGCATTGTTTTCTTTATATTATAAAAGTGGTTGACCTTTACACTTTTTTTTTTTTTTTAAAACAACTTAAAGTTATAATTTTTTCCACCTATGTTAATAACAGAAAAGCATTTTTGTAAGGAGTAGGCCTATGAGGGTTGTTAATAAGAATACAATACTATTAAACAAAATAAAACAGCGCGAGCCGGAGGTAGACAAGCATTAGTTCAAACATGTTTGAAGAAGCCATTGTGTTAATTCGTGGGGAAAAAATCTGAGGTTCTGTCAACTTCTACTTTCATTTTATTTCTGCACTGCTTCAACTTGCTTTTGGTGAGGATTTCCTGCAGACCATCACGCAGACACACATGCACAATGAATAGAAATGGATTGCAATATTTGTTTTAAACAACAAGTCTGGCATTAAACATATTGCTTGTGTAGTGCTAAAACATCTCTTTAATTTTAGATAGTGTATACATGTATTATAATGCCTATAGATGCATATTTCTTTTACAGTAATGTAAACTGATCATATAAATTTATTCCCAAAAGAAAATGATTATTCACTTTAATCATATTGTCTTGGTGAAATTACTGAACTTCTTAGAATTAAACTCTCATCATTCCCATAAAAAGCGTGATTTTTATAATTTTGTCAATGTCACATACCTGGCAAACATAAGCAGGCTTTGTGTTTGCCTTTTGAGATCTTTGCCCCAGAGGATGTTGACTAGGTGGGATTACGTGCAAATGCTGTTTTTGTTCCCTCTTTTAATTAATGTGAGCATTTTATAGAGCATCTCAATGCTTAATATATGCATAAAACACACAATAACCATTTTATTTTATTTATGCTCCCACAACTTAAAGACTTGCTTTGCATAATGAAACAGTTAAATTTGCTGAGAAATTACTCACATGAGGCCATCCAAGATGTAAGTGAGCTTGTTTCTTCATCGGAACAGATTTGGAGAAATTTACATTGGAATTACATCATTTGCTCAGCAATGGATCCTCTGTAGTGAATGGGTGCCGTCAGAATGAGAACAATCTCAAACAGCTGATAAAAACATCACAATAATCCACAAGTAACCCACACGACTCCAGTCCACCACTTCACATCTTGTGAAAATCTGCATGTTTGTAAAAAACAAATCCATAAAGAAGTTTTAACTTTATACTGTAGCTTGCAACTTAAATACTCCTCTGAAAAGGTGAAAAATCAGGAGAGAAATATGCACAGATCAATCACCGTTTACAAAAGAAAACGGTCCAAAACTGTTCTAAACAAATATGTTGGTGGATTTTGATGTGAGAGGACAACATGATGTGGACTTTTTCACTGGAGGAAGCATTATTATGGAACATGGTGTCGTTTTTTTATTTTTATTTTATTTTATATAGATTAAAGCAATGATTTATAGTTTAAAAGTTAAAAGATACATTTCTTTTCATTTTTGGGTGAACTATTGGCTAAACTGGCATTAAACTGATGAATTTAGTCAAACTGTGTTATCGTACCTAGATGCAGTGTTTCCTCTTAACCCTGGATAACTCTCAGGTGAGTCATAAACTCAACCTGTCAGCACCTGATAACTTTCATTTGATCTCCAGAATCTTCCCAGAAAGGTCAGACACAGGGTGCCCTTCAGTCTCCTCTCATAAAGTATAGTACAATGAGTGTATTTTTGTCCATTGTGACTCTTTGGTTTGGATCCTCCTTGTTACAAGAGACTTGCATTGTGGTCATCTGAGTGCATATTTGGTTTTTGGACGGGATATTATGGCCTCTGTCATATGCGGTTAGCACAATCACCAATAAATCACTCAGTTAATTGTCTGTGCTCAGAAGAACCGGCCTTCATGAAGCTGGAGCATATGAAAGGATAATGAACAAGGTTTTACCAAAAGATGGCATAGCCTAAGCAACTTTATCATGACTTCCATTTGATTACTTGCATGTAAATGTGTAAACATCTATTTTTTTTAAACATTGGTTTTCAGCTATTTGATATTGCGATATGAAAGAGCATTATGCAGCAAAATGCACTTGCTGTGTGGTTTGGAAAAAGAAGGACTTGAGTTTGGCCTTAAAATGTTGGAATGCAATGTTTGATGCCATGACTAGTATGTAGGGCCACATTATGCATGAGTAGACATCTTAGCTGAATCATTTTTGGCTGAAACCCAAGACCAGCACTGTGTATCATGTTGCTGTAGTAGAGGCTCTGTGAAGTGTAAACATCCAAATCTCTGAATGTTTTCTCTAGCGAAGGGCCACTGACGAGTCTCACAGTCCCTTGTCCTCACAAGTGTGGCATTATCATATTCTCACACAGGCACATCAGCACAGATGTGTTGGATCACAAAAGTCTGAGAATTTGAAATACTGCTTATTAATGTCACACCTAAACATGTCTTTGTTTCTTTCTTTTTATTTCCAGTTAGGAATCTTAGAATTTCTGTGTTGTCTGTGAATCATTGAAATGAATTTGATTGATTGGTATGTATTGACTATATGGAGCATGAAGTATTTTTTTCTATTTAGAAGTGTTCTATATCTAATAGTCAAACTTACATTGATTTTCCCAGTTTAGCCCCATGATGGCATCATATAAAAGCAATTCCTTTTATAAAGGCCAAGCAGAGACACACCAGTTGCTGTAGCAATGCCAAACATTCATTTACTGAACTAATCCATAATAATGAACAGGATGCCCTGTAGTGCTCTGAGTAAATATTTCCCTGAATATAGTAAAAAATATTGTGATATGACAAGTGACACTAAATATACCCAATAACTATGTTGCTTAAAGGCACATTCTGCATGAACTAGCAGCTCTGGTGCATTCGGGCATAATAATTGAATGTGTGACTGTGAATGCAGTTCCTATCACACCTGGATCACACTTCTTTTTTTTTTAAAGAATATGAATTGCTTAATAAAAAAACACCCTACAGCAAATATTTACATTAAAAAAAATAAAAATGTTATGAAAGCGTTTCATAACAAAAAGGACATGGCAGTCATTTAAGTCAGCCTGTATGTTTCAGTGGCAGATTTATCTTGGACAAGATAGACAAATGAACACAATTAATCTGTTTACTGCTAGAAATATGCTATAATCAAGATATATAATGGAGAAGCATAGTAAGATGGTTTCCAGAGCTCGCTCATTTATTCTGGTTAGCAGTCTAGCCCACTTCCCTGTGTCCTCATGCACATGAATTAAATCACACAGATAAAGAGTGTTTGGAGGGAAATAAAAAAGAAAATCCCAAGCCTCAGGTTGGCATGGAGACTATAACATCATCGCTCAATACATGAGCAGCTCAGTGTAAGTGGCATAAAAGTCCTCATTTCGAACAGGATTAGCTTCATCGTTACAGATGCTAGGCAACCGTGCAATCCAGGAAAATTCTAAAAATGTGATCTGAATGTATGTTAAATCCTTGAGGAGCCTCAAAGAGGGTTACCTAATGCTCTTGAACCTGAACATTATGTGCTCTTGATTCTTAATGTGTTTCATATAGTCTGAATTAACCTCTGAAATGAAAAGGACTTTAACCTGTAACACAGTCCTACTGTTTCTGTGCCGTCAAATGAGATGTGTGAGAAATGAAGTTTGGGGTCAGTAAGGTTTTAAGTATTTTTGAAGGTAAATGATACTTCTATTCACCAAAGACGCATTAAATTGGCGCATTAAAGGGACAGTAAAGACATTTGTAATGTTATAAAAGATTTCTATGTAAGATAAATGCTGTTCTTTTGAACTTTCTCTTCATCAAAGAATCTTGAAAAAATATATCACTGTTTTCACAAAAAAATACTAAGCAGCACAACTGTTTTTAATATTGATTATTATAAGAAATGTTTCTTGAGCAGCAAATCAGCATATCAGAATGATTTCTGAAGAATCACGTGACATTGAAGACTGGAGTAATGATGCTGAAAATTCAGCTTCGCATCACAGAAATAAATTACATTTTAAAATACATTCAAATAGAACACAGTTATGTTAAATGTGACCCTGGACCCCAAAACCAGTCATAAGGGTCAATTTTTCGAAATTGAGATTTATACATCAGCTGAAAGCTGAATAATTAAGCTTTCAATTGATGTATGGTTTGTTAAGATAGGACAATATTTGGCCGAGATACAACTATTTGAAAATCTGGAATCTGAGGGTGCAAAAAAATCTAAATATTGAGAAATCACATTTAAAGTTGTCCAAATGAAGTTCTTAGCAGTGCATATTACTAATCAAAAATTAAGTTTTTATATATTTACGGTAGGAAATTTACAAAATATCTTCATGGAACATGATCTTTACTTAATATCCTAATGATTTTTGGCATAAAAGAAAAATCAATAATTTTGACCCATACAATGTTTTTTTGTCTATTGCTACAAATATACCCCAGCGACTTAAGACTGGTTTTGTGCTCCAGGGTCACAAATTGTAATAATACTTCATAATATTACTGATTTTACTGTATTTTTAAATAAATGCAGTGTGCATAAAAGAGACTTCTTTCAAAAACATAAAACAAATATTACCAACCCCAAACTTTTGAATGTTAATGTACATGAGCATAGATTTTTTTTTCTTCATAGAACTCTGTCTGGATGTATAAATCCAGTCTATATACCTTTAAAAAGTTCATAACATTTTAATAGGATGACAGCCCATATACATTGCTTCAAATTAATGTATATTAAATGAAGGGAAAAAAATTTGACCGAGGCTCTACCTTCAGTCAAAATTTAAGTATTTCAAATTCACCAAAATATATATATTTTTTAGGTTTATGAACAACCGAGTCCCATCTAGCAAGAGATACCAGCCAACTGAGTATGAGCATGCAGCCAACTGTGCCACTCATGGAGTAAGTAGAAAAATCTACTTCTCATCTCACACTGAGCTCAGAGCAGGTCAAAACAATGTTGGAGAAACCTCACTGAAAATAAAGTGCTTCATGAGATCACAAACTGGACGGGTTGCTCAACATTTAGCATACAGACCTCTGGTTTTGCGAAGGAGAGGGTGTTGTCAAGAGGGGAGGCTTTGATGCCATTGTCCTGTGACACAGAAGGATCAACAAAATCACAAAAAGAACACAGAGATTGTGTGATGTAATACTGCTCAACAAACAAAAATATTTCATGGATATACAGGGACAAAATCATTCAATAATACCATTAGGTCACAGTCATCAAGTCTTTTTCATACTGTAGTTTTTTTTTACCCTTGCTTCTGATCTTGGTTTATGTTCGTGTGTTTTTTTCTGAGCATGTTGGATATGGCCTTGCTTCGTGATGTTGTTTGGATAACATCCTGCTCTCTAATCCCCGCCTCTCAGAGCCGCACATCTGGCACGGCCAGTTCACGAGCTTCAGCATGAGACATTGACCACACACACCAAATCCTCTTTGCACCAGTGCATTGTCGTTTGGCTGTGGAGTAAATGCTCAAGAATACTGTGCATCTACTTTTCTGATGTCTACAAATTAAAGTCTTGAAAATAGTTTTTTGATAATATGCTTATGTCAAAATGCTGTAAATGCCTAGAATTGCTGGTTTTGGTTATTACATAAAAAAAAAATAAAAAATAGGCTTCTGCAGAAAATCAGTAGGGCTTGTGGGATATGTTAAGAAGATTTGATCAGACACAAATAATGACAGATGGAAGGAGGGTCGGTCAGGCTACAAATATTAGAATTTGTCATTTTTCCAATGTAATTACAGTAATCCAAATAGCAAACTGTACATACATAATGTAGGACCAGGGCTGGCCATTTGTGACCCTGGACCACAAAACCAGTATTAAGGGTCAATTTTTCGAAATTGAGCTTTATACATCATCTGAAAGCTGAATAAATAAGCTTTCCATTGATGTATGGTTTGTTAGGACAGGACAATATTTGGCTGAGATACAACAATTTAAAAACTTGGAATCTGAGGGTGCAAAAAAATCTAAATATTGAGAAAATCGCCTTTAAAGTTGTCCAAATGAAGTTCTTAGCAAAACATATTACTAATCAAAAATTAAGTTGTGATATATTTACGGTAGGAAATTTACAAAATATCTTCATGGAACATGATCTTTACTTAATATCCTAATGATTTTTGGCATAAAAGAAAAATCAATAATTTTGACCCATACAATGTATTTTTGGCTATTGCTACAAATATACCCCAGCGACTTAAGACTGGTTTTGTGCTCCAGGGTCACATTTTAGTTCATTTTGTATTTAAGTACTATATCATAGTGTTGCAGTCGAGGCCAGCTGAGGGTTGAGTCCGAGTTAAGACTTCACATGAAAATATGGCCTTGGTCTTGGTCCTCGAGTTTGAGTTGAAGACCATATTTTCACAGTCTTGGTATTAGACTACATGTTACTGAGTCCACAACAAGACTAAGACCCTAAAAATATTGACTTATTGATCATTGATTGAGTGCAAGACCATATTTTAATGGTCTTGATCCTCAAGTTCACGCCCAAGCTCACATTTTCATGGTCTTGGTTTTGGTCTTAGTCCACATGCTCCCGAGTCCACGGCAAAACCAAAACCATGAAAATAGGGTCCTGTCTATTGTCCAATATCCAAGTCTAAGACTATATTTTCATAGTCTTGCTCTTTGTCTTAGTCCACATGCTCCAGAGTCTACAACAAGACCAAAACATGAAGAATTGGTTTGACTTGCCCTTGAGTCCAAGACCTTATTTTCACAGTCTTGGTCTTTGAGTCTACGACAATATTTTATGGTCTTGGTGCTCAGGGCTGAGCACCAAGACCATATTGTCATGATCTTGGTCTTAGTCCACATGCTCCTTGTGAGTCCACAACAAGACCAAGACCATGAAAATACTGATTTCTAAAATATTGAGTCTAAGACCACATTTTCACTTCCTGGTCATGTGATAGACTCAGGAGCATGTGGACTTGTTTTTGATTTGAACGTAACCCTCTTCTGGTGTCAAACCCAAATGAGCTGGTCTTAACTCCAACACTGCTTTAACACACACACACACACACACACAATAGTTATTAATAACTTGAGAAGATACAAAAAGATACATATTGATATTGTCTTCTGTTCAGTTCTGGATCATTCCCAGTATCCTGGGGAGCTCAGTGTTGTACTTCCTCTCTGATGACCAGTGGGAGACCATCTCTGCATGGATGTATGGGACAGGTCTGTCTGGGCTGTTCATCATGTCCACCATGTTCCATACGGTGTCCTGGAAGAAAAGCCATCTCAGGTGAGAATTTAAAAAAAAGTTACGTTTTCTTTAAATTAAGTTCTATTTTATTTTAAAACAAAAAGGAAAGATCTTCAGCAGCGCCTAAGATATACACCTTCCCATACATTCATATACATTTTAACCTAAAATCTTGATATTGAACAAAAAAAAGCATGTTTTCTGTCAACTAAAGTGGATGCGGTTTAAAAAGAGTGTATGCAGTATGTTTAACACGTTTCTGACACTTAGTCAAGAATGACTAAGCACACACTCATTATGAAGTGCTTCAAGATGTGAAACAAACAGATTTCCTCAGTTAATTGGGCATGTTTCCCGTCTTCCATAATATTTAAAAATATTTCAGCTGTAAAAAGAAGAATATTGCATTTATGCAATTGCTTTGCATTTTTTTCTGACAGACGCCATCTGAAATGAAATATTTCCACCCGATATGTTGACTGTCAAGCCCTGAATTTACAGAAAACAACGAGTAGTCATATGTCATCTGCAGGCATAGAGATGTCTGATTATTTAATGTCATAGCTTTTGATGACTCTTCCCAGATAAAGAGGTTAAAGAGGCGGTTTCATGCTACATTTTTGCATATTCTGTGCTAGGAGGAAGTGTCAGCTGCAAATGCAGATTTAGTGGAAACATTAGGAATGAACTTTGGATCTTCATCAGAGCAGGACAACTAAGCAGTTACACATGAATTCATATTGACAGATGGTATCACATGGGCCTGTCAGTTCATACTCACAGATGTCCGTTTCATCAGTCATGACCCTGCCATTCCAAATTACACATATGGGAACAGAACAAAAAGAGTTTCATTAAGCAAAAACACGCCTCAAATCTGTATAAAAGGGTTGCGACATGCTTGTCACCTGAATATATTACCAATAGCATATTACAATGATTTCTGAAGGTTCATCACAAGAATAACATCACAGGAATAAATTAAATTTTTAATTATATTCAAAAAATAACAGTTATTTCAAACTAAAGTCTACTCAGAATTAGTTTATACTGTATTTTTGATTAGATAAATGCAGCCGGGTGAGCATAAGAGACTTCTTTCAAATACAAAGAACCTCAAACTTTTAAACAGTAGTGTAGCTCAGAAAGATACTAGCCAGTACAAAGATTTGAGCACGAACAGTAGACAATAGGAAAAAGAGACTGATTTTTATTTTGAAACATTCTCTTGCTGTAACAGGAAGGTGGAGCAGCGATTCCACATGTGCGACAGGATGGTGATATATTTCTTTATAGCTGCATCTTATGCACCCTGGTGAGCATGTGATGTGTGTGTCCTCTAGTAACAGCACCATCAGCGTTTTACAGCTTCACAGGGTTGAGTGTGTTACTGACACAGGTGTCTCTGTGTTTGTGTTGTGTGCAGGCTGAACCTGAGGGAACTAGGACCCTGGGCTGTGCATATGCGCTGGTTGGTGTGGATCATGGCTTGCGCTGGCTCTGCCTATGTCTTCTTCTTTCATGAGAAGTAGGTGCCCACTTTGTTGAGGACGTCTTAGAGGATAATAATCACTCGCAGATGCTGATGTGGTTGTTAATGTCCAAAATTGTGTAAAAATGCTGTCTGTCCTTGTTCTTTTGCCAAGCAATTGCATTATGAATGCATCAAATAATGCAAGTGAATATTACCAAGCCAGCATCAGAATGTGTTTAAAACGGCTGTGTTATGTTTCAGGAACAAGATACTAGACTTACTGTGCTACACTGCCATGGGAGCTGTTCCTGCAGTTGTTCTTCTGTCAATGGTATGTGTGACTGACACCTATACATGTGTTCATAAATACAGTAATGAAGGCTTTTGAGATGCCTTAAGCAGCTTATTTATATTTTACAACATTTCCGTTAGTGTTGTTAACATGAAGTATACTTTGCAATTAAAGTAGGTCTTTATTTCATTAACGTCTTTGTGAGACCAAGTCATTGAGTTATCGAGTCATTCAATCAATCAGGTGCCTTTCCCAATGAATTTTAGGGAGATTTAAAACATCCTATCAGACAAACAGTGTGTTAAAACATTAACGAATTACATGACCGTGTCATCTTAAGCTAAATTAATGCATTTTAATATATAGGTTGGCATATATTTATGCCCTCAGAAAAGTAACAGTTGACATTACGTTATTTCTGAACAAGCCTTGTGCTTCTACAGGGTGCTTCTTAGAAAGAGAATTGAATTCTTTTTAATTATCCCTTGTTTACTACTGTAAATGAAATCATGGTAACAAGGTTGACATTTCGAATATCATCCCCTACTGACAAACATAAAACATGATGAAGTGATAAAAAGATGAGACATTTGCTGGACCATGAAGAGTTTACTTCTTGAAAGCATAATTAAGTAATTATGAGAGTTTTGTGGTTAATGGAATAGTTACTTTAAAAGGGGAAAATGGTTATTATATACATGTATGGGGATATACAGTATGTACGTAACAGTAGGAATAATGGGGGATATTAAAATGTCAACCCTGTTACCATGATTATATATACAGTATTAAACAAATGATTATTGAAAAGTATTGTGTAAGAAGCACCTTGTAGAAGCACAAAGCTTGTAACAAAAATAATGTACTGTCAACCCTGTTATATATATATA